ATCCAAAAGTGAGATATAAAGGGGAGGAAAATATAGTTAGGATAGATTAGCGAAAGTAAGGGAATAAGAATTGATATCAAATTATGTTTGGGTTTGCGGAAATACCATCTCAAGGAAATGTAAACAGAGATCTGAAAGAGACACCTACAATAATAGAAAAGAGAGAGAGGAGGAGAGAATGAAAGGAAGATGGAGGAAAGAAGAAAGAGGTAAGGAGAGGAGGATGGAAGGGAGAGGAAGAGAAGGAGAGAGGGTAGAAAAGGAAGAGTAGGAGTAGGAAAAAGGTAAGGGAAGCAGGAAGGGGAAGGAGAGGGGGAAGGAAGAAAGTAGAGATGGGAGGGTGGGTGAAAAGAAAGGGAAAAAAAGGTGGTGTTACAACAGGAGAAAGGGATGGTAAATAAAGCAACCCAAACTGTATATTACAACCTATTAAATGAAATAATAAATGTATAAGAATGATAAATGTAAAGAAGAATAACAATTATGTGAATGTATATTTAAAATGATATGTAAGAGAATAAAAACAAATTCTGGGAAAAATTTAGCTTGTTGTTCCTGTGACATTAAAATGATACGAATTAATTCACCTGGAAATAACGCTGAAATAGCAAGTTATACTAATTTCCCCTAACTATCTACTTCCCACTCCCCAGTTCTAATATTCTAAATTCCAGAGGTCTCAGAAAGGGTCAGGCTGGATGGGGAATTCCGTATCTCTGTAGAGTATCCAAATTATGGATAAAGATGCATGGTGCAAATATAGGTCAGTGGGAGGGGTGACCTTTGGTTATAGAATGTGGCCATGATTTGTTTTCTGGTTTCAATTCAGTGTACATGTTTTGTGAAATTATTTTCAGTGGAGCACTTGCAATGCAGATCTTCCTCAAAATGGAAGATCTAGCATTTGCCTGGTGGGCAAATAGTTTCCAAATAGTTTAGAAAGATTTCTAAAGATTGCCTCACGATGTGCTTCATCAAACAATATTGACTGAATACAAATTTGTACTTTTCCCTTCTTTTTGACAGGGATCGAATATCGCTGGCATGTTGAATGGCTATCCTCTATGGGAGAACGTCACCACACACATTCCAAATAATGGCTGGGCAGCTATTGGGACCCATTCTTTTGAACTGACACAATTTGATAATTTTCATGTTGAAGCCAGCTGAGGTTTCCATCATGCATTGTCAATTCTGAGTGTGCCTAGTCAAACCTTAATCTAATAATTAATTATGCTACTGGAGATTTTTGATTGTTTCCTGCTAATGTTAATATACATTCAAATGTTCTTTTGACTACAAATTGTTTCTTTTCCTCCTTAATATCAGATCCTTGTTAAAACATTTTTGTGCAAGCTGTAAATGGAAATGTGACACAGTCATATCTGTTACAATTAGATAGAATTTCTGCTTTCAAAATTTCTTATTTCAATAAGTCCATTTTGTGTGGATGTAAAATTCACCTTGCAATCAGATGGAATATCTCATATTTGTTATGAATTATGAAATAATGAATTTAAGTGGATGTATATGTCTTCTACTAGGACATAAGATTTTACTCCTAGTTTTCTAATGTCTTGTTAGAGTGAGCACAGCATGACTACTATTTTGAGACAACCCAAAATGCAGGACACAGAGGTTTGTCTTACAAACAGTGGTTTATATACAAGACTTTTATATACAAGGATACAGGACACACACACACACACACACACACAGAGAGAGAGAGAGAGAGAGAGAGAGAGAGAGAGAGAGAGAGAGAGCACTAAGCAACCAATCAATCTCCAACTCTACATGGAGAACTACTATGAAGATAATACACGAAGAGATTCACGGGGAGAGAGAGGCGGCCTTTAAAGTACCTCTCATTGATAACAGTATAGCAAATATATTGAAAATACCTATTATTAATCTTATGTTGGTAACCCAATAACCCAGATAGTTTTATAGTTTTTTTCTTTGTGTTTGACTATACATTGAAGGAGGAAAAAAGTTTATAGGTGGTCTTTAGTGAAGTTCAAAATTATGATGGACCTCTCCAGACCTACTTACAACTTGTTCTTGCAGTTCTGATGGCTGCACCACCTCTAAAATGTGTCACCTAATCACATTTTGGGACACATTTTGACAACTGGCTTGGATTTATAGCTGTTTTCAGCATTTGGTGCTCACGTGACCATGATTTTTGGTATTTTTTGCTGGTTTCTGGCTTTTACTTCTGATTTCTAGAAAAAAACCTCCATCCATTGGTAAAAGCAGATTTGCTTAATAACTGACACATTTATTTAACAAATGACACAGAGGAGGATGTAAAATTGGACACTGTCACATGTCATCTGATTAACAATTGCCATGACTTACCACCATAATTCCAGGCTCATTTATGTTATAAGTCGAGGACTACCTGTGGGTGGTGAAAATTCACAAGACCTTGTTTTATGTCATGTCTGCAGGTCAGTATACATATGAAGATACTATTGCGCAAGGACGTTAGAAGCAGTAAAATTGTAGAATTTATAATCCAAAGAATTGCACAAGCATCAATATCTCTGGATGGTGTACATATCAAGGCCCCAGCTTTCATGAATAAAAAGCCATGCATAAAAACAATATTTCACATACATTAACTTGCAAGTGCCAATGTTCCTTTATGCTTTTTGGTGAAATTTAATATTGAAAAGTAAAATAATTTGCTTATTTATTAATAATTTATTATTTAACTAGTTTCAGGGTTTTTTTAATTCATTTTAAAGGATACAGAGTAGATGCTCAATACAAAATAGTGGAGAATAAAACTAATACAAATTGACAATTTATAAGGTAGAGCAAATAGCCCTCTGTGAGAATGTACTAAGTTGTCCTGAATATATAATTGCAAAGGTATACTAAATAATTATAATTGGAGAAAAATATTAACACAATTCCATAACTGCTCAACAGAAGTATATAAGGTTCTGATCAATGTTGGATCAGTTCATGTTCATATTTTGACAAATGAAGCTGAAAGATGAATAGCCTATATAAGACAACTTATGCCAGGAAAGGTTGGGGTTGTGGATTCATTTTCTTTGCTTGTTACTATTGATAATCAGAAACCTTTGCAGTGCTGTTGCAAATTATACAGGTTGTACACCTGGAACTTGTTTTATGTTTTCTCACCTTTTACCTACCATTGAAGGAACCCTAATATGTCCCTGTTTCTGCTAGTACTAAGGATTGCTGGCTTTATAGAAAGAATAGGTAACTTTTTAAAACTGTGCCCCTTTATAAAAAAATAGTTCAATTTTGGGTCTCTTTTTATTTTATTCTAGGCAGTGTCAACTTTCAATATTCAAAAAACTGGAAAGCTACTTCGAAAGTTGAGTCTGATAAAATTGTGTTTATCCTCTAGATGTTGGTACAAAATATCTTTGTTAAGTGACACACAGATATCTGTCTCGTCTAGTTCAAAGAGAGTTCTGAGACAAGATATTACAGTTGATAATGTATTTGTTTACAGAACAGTTTGTCTATTCCAGACATGATTAAACCAAAAGCCTCCAATTAAGCATATTATTTAGACCAAAACAATTGTTTCCTAGCCAGGATATTAAGTTAAATTTCAAACTTTAACAGTGTAGCTTGTTTGTAAGTTATTGATAACCAGTTAGGCAAAGACAAAAGTATGGCTATTCAAAGTTCCTGGTATGAGTGATGATTTATGGCTTAGTTTAAGACAAAAGATGATCAGATTGGCCAATGGTAAATATACTTACATGCAGTTAATAAACTAATAATAGGATAAATGCTTGTCCTCTTTTATTAGTAGAATATTGTTTGGTATCGAAATTAAACACATATCTTTAAAAGGAAACATTTCTTTTGAATTAGAGATAAAAAAGTAACTTTCATCATTAAAGACTAATAGCTCAGCAACTAAATAAATTTTGATATCTTATATTGGCCAGGTGTTTAAAACTGGAGGTTGAAATGATGTCTACTTTCTTTTCCTTTGTAGTGTGGGAATATAAAGGATGGACTAAACAGGATTTGTTTTTTGTTTGTTGCCATTTTTTCCCCTATATAGACTTGAAAGTTGCAGATGAATCATATCATCAGAGCAGACAGGGTCAAAATATTTCACTTTTTTGTTTTGTTGTGCATGATAAAACAAAGAGCAAAATGTGTTTCTTAATTTTTTTCCCTTAGTAACCCCCCTCCCCCCGACAAATACTGAGGATGGATTTAAGATTGAGATGAATGCCTTAAAGTTATTAAGTTAATGAATACTATAAAACTGAAAATGTAAGTTTTCCATTTTGCTTTCTAAGAATTGCAAAAAAAAATTACTAGGACACATGACATCCTTTGCATATAGTTGTCTCCCCCAACCACTTCATTCTGGGAACTGACACATTCCAGCCAGTCTGAACACTAGTTGAAAAAGACTAATTCAGGGATAAGCA